TCAGACAGGAAGGAGTAAGAAATGGCTCAGCCAGATGCATACCTGCTGGGGATGCCTCTCCACCAGAAGCCTTTTTAGCCATTTACATTCAGGACAGATGGTAGTTTTAAACACTGTGTGGTGGGACAGTACCATGAATTTTATCTACAGAAATAATTAAATAATAATAAACATTAACATAGCTATGAAATAATACTTTTACATGCAAGACATATGTATTAGACTCTCAGGTAGCCACAAAGTCATATTATTTTCTCCTTTATTCTAGCTTTTCCCATATTTTTAATTCTTCAAATTCCTCATCATTCTAATAAAAACCTACATAGAACTTGTTTTCAGAAGCTATATTCATAACCAATGCCTAAATCAAGCTTGTACATATAACTCTACAAGATTAAGTTAAATAATGAGAACGGTTTTTTGCGAGTATAAACATATTGCACTGTGAAACTGCTCATAGCATTGCAAACATAAATAATCAAATTAAATGATCATTTGCTCTTGGTGTGGCAACTAATTGTTATGCATTTCATTTGGTGGGTTTTTTTTTCCCTTTTCTTTCAGAACACCCATTTTTCTGACTTTTTGGACAAAAGAACTGGTTATACAACAATCAATATGTTGGCAACCCCAATTATGCAGGGTAAAGAGGTGCTTGCTGTTGTGATGGCACTCAACAAATTAAGCGCCACTGAGTTCTCAAAAGAGGATGAAGAGGTAATAACCTCAATTGTCACACAACAGTGTAATTGTTAGTTCAACAATTAATTTGCGTGAATCTGCCTCTTGATTTGATACTTTTGTCCTATTTTTGCTCTTTGTCATTTTTAGGTCTTTAAAAAATACCTCAATTTTGTATCTTTGGTCCTAAAAAATCATCATACGACGTATCTCTACAATATTGAATCCCGAAGAAGTCAGGTATAGAAGAATTTGTTAATGATAATGTTTATTTTTTGTGTGAAACCATTATTATTCCCACTATTTTATATTCTTGCAAGCTTATTAAAGTAAGGAGAGCAACTATTTAATTTTTGTATTTGATAACAGTAATGCACCTTGTAATTTTATTCTGGAGTCCCTAGGATTCATATGTTTATGTTTTCTTACTGTTGTGAATATTTACCCTCTTTCTCTTTTGTTGTAAATAGATGCTTTTGTGGTCTGCCAACAAAGTATTTGAAGAGCTAACAGATATAGAACGGCAGTTTCACAAAGCACTGTATACTATTCGAATGTATTTGAACTGTGAAAGATACTCTGTTGGTCTGCTGGACATGACTAAAGAAAAGGTAACAATCATTTTGCCTACTTGACAGAAGTGTGCTATTCCTAACTTTAAGTTATAAAATCCATCCTTCTAATTAATTTGTTCTGCATATTTGTCTCTGTGCATGTCTATCCAAGGCACAAAGTTACCAGGCTTTCTAACCCTTTGGGGTAATTTATATAAAATCTAATAATTATAAA